AAACAAGATAGGGTGCCGTGTACTAAGTTTGTTACTCAGTGAAAATACCATAAAGCCTCACTCTGATACAAGATAGGGCGCCCTCTACTGAGTTAATGTGTATATATATATATTAAGTTTGTATCATTTCGTAACAATACCATAAAGCCTCTTATTAAAACAAGATAGGGTGCCCTCTACTGAGTTAATGTGTACATTAAGTTTCTGTTAAAATACCATAAAGCCGTGTACTAAGTTTGTTACTCAGTAAAAACAGCATAAAGCCTCACTCTGATACAAGATAGGGCGCCCTCTACTGAGTTAATGTGTATATATATATATATTAAGTTTGTATCATTTCGTAACAATACCATAAAGCCTCTTATTAAAACAAGATAGGGCGCCCTCTACTGAGTTAATGTGTACATTAAGTTTCTGTTAAAATACCATAAAGCCTCAATCTGATACAAGATAGGGCACCCTCTACTGAGTTAATCTGTATATAGACGACTTCCCCGGAAGTTGAAGATGCGGCTTTTTCGCATGCGCGCGCATGCAGTTTTGGGGTGTAAACTTGCACGCTTGATATTGTGCTTCTGGGTGTACCAATTGACGTAACAACAATAAAATTCTTTTTATCGACTATCAATAACTGACATGTTTGTATTTTTGCACCTCAGTTTTGCTACTTCCGGGAAAGTGGTCTATCAAGTTTCTGTTACTCTTGATAAAATACTGTGGAATACTTTATTTTCGCTGGAATTAATTTTCGATGAAAAGGCTTTTGGGGCGTTTTGTATGGAATTTATTTTCACTGATTTTTGATGAGTTTAATGTGAAATATAGGAAAAAAAGTATATTCGCTGGATTTTATTTTCACGGAATCATCCCTCCAGCGAAAATAGCGAAAATAAATTCCAAGCGAAAATAAAGTATTCTACAGTACCATAAAGCCTCTCTCTGATACAAGGTAGGGCGCCCTCTACTGAATTACTCTGTAAAAATAAAGCCTCAATCTGATACAAGATTGTATAAAGCCCTCTACTGAGTTGAACTGTATATTAAGTTTCTGTTACTCTCAGTAAAATACCATAAAGCCTCACTCTGATACAAGATAGGGCGCCCTCTACTGAGTTAATCTGTATATTTAATTTCTGTTATTCTTGGTAAAAATACCATAAAGCCTCACTCTGATACAATATAGGGCGCCCTCTACTGAGTTGAACTGTATATTAAGCTTCTGTTACTCTTGGTAAAATACCATAAAGCCTCTCTCTGATACAAGGTAGGGCACCCTCTACTGAGTTAATTTGTATATTTAGTTTCTGTTATTCTTGGTAAAAATACCATAAAGCCTCACTCTGAAACAGGGCGTCCTCTACTGAGGTAATGTGTATGTTAAGTTACTGTCACTTATAGTAAAAATAGCATAAAGACACAATCTGAATTTAAATAGGGCGCCCTCTACTAATGCGTATATGAACACATTGTTACTCCTCCCAGCACACAGTAACACTCCATATAACTGCAACTGTTTGAAATGGAAAGACAATACATTGAGCACCATCTTTAGTAGTGACATCATAGAATTATCCAAATCAAGATTAAAGCGCGGTGGTCGTCGTGCAGCGCATGCTCGAATTTCATGTAAATAAACAATGTATTTTATACTATGAATACTATGAGTTCCATATCGAACACGACACAGCGCAACGACCATCGCCCTCTTTAGGTGATATCAAGTAATTATCCAAATCATGATTTGGTGACATCAAGCTATTGTCCAAATCATGATTTGGTGACATCAAGCTATTGTCCAAATCATGATTTGGTGACATCAAGCAATTATCCAAATCATGATTTAGTGACATCAAGCAATTATCAAAATCATGATTTAGTGACTTCAATTGATTTGTACATCAAGCTATACAAATCAATTGCCAGATATAATTAAATCTTCTTCGTAGTACGCAATAAGAACCATGATAACAATGCCGAGAATGATTCCCATATTTTGTAAAATGAATGTAAGAACTGGTTTGTCACTTTGATAATGTGATATTTCTGGCATCTGAAAATAAAATTAAACAAGTCATGATTAATGACATAGTCCCTGTTGGAACTAACAAGGATACAAATGTGCCAAATATTGAAGTATAACTATAAAATACTTTATTTTAGCTTGAATTTATTTTCAATGAAAAGACTTTTTGCGTGTTTTGTATGGAATTTATTTTTGACGAGTTGAATGTAAAAAACATTGCAAGCAAAAATAAAATATTTGACAGTATACAGTAAATAAATTCTAAATCTAGTGAACATGTAAAATAACAATAGATCTCATTTGAAAAGTTAGCAACAAAAAAATGAATGTAGTGTCATTGAAAATTAAAAAAAATGAAATTGTACATTATGTATACATAAACAAATTTCTTGAAAAAAAATGACAGATTGATGGAGAGAGATTCCCATAGTTTGATAGGAAAGCCATGACAACACAATTTAAAGATTGTACTAAAAATATAATGTCATTGTTTATTTGCTCATTAGAATATTCCAGCCCAATTTGCGTATATATTCCAGTCATTCAACGTTTGATGTTTGCCGCAGTTGCACGTCCTATACTATACTGTCTATGCTTTAATTTAGTGAGAGAAACAAGTGAACATTACAGGAAATATTACTGACTAGTACTGACAGTGTTCCCTCTAAGCCTCAATTTTCTCAGATTCAATTGCAGTTTCTCAGTGAAATTTTGTCTTTTGAGAAACTTTCCAACTTTTGTATGCAGAAAAAACATTTCAAGGAGATATGGGCAAATTTTCTCAGTATTTTCAAGATTCAAAAAAATTAAAGGGAACAGGTCAACGAACTTTGTGACCTCTGTAAGTAATTTCACTTACCAGATCTACTAGGGCTATGTAAAGAAAGATTCCGGCTGTTATCGCAAATATCCATTGTCTTGCCGATTCATCGGCTCCGATTGATAGACCAATATACAAACCAATAAACGCACACATTGCAGAAAGCGAGTTAAACAACAAAGCCATTTTGTAACTGAGTCCACCATTCATCAGGATAGCAAAATCACCTGAAATTAACATTAACCTTATTAATCACACAAGTTGAGCACCTGAGATTAACATTAACCTTATTAATCACACAAGTTGAACACCTGAAATGAACATTGACCTCATTAATCACACCTGAATAAATGTACAATCAAATAAAACAAACATTATAAACCAATTAGAACCTGACTCACCTAATTCATGAGGTAATTCATGGCAGAACACGGCTATAGATGTGGAAATACCGACAAATACACCAGCAGAGAAGGCGGCACCGATAGCAAGTCCATCACTGATATTATGCAAGATATCGCCAATCACCACCACGAATATAACAGAAGATACTAAAACAAAAGAATTAATTATAAATAAAGAAATAGATATTTAGTTTAATTTTTTCACCACAAGACTTTCTCACCCAAATTTGTCTGTATTTTTTCCTAAATTCTTTAATATTTCTGGAAATGAACCTCTTTTGGGGTCAACAGACAAAATTTGAGTCAATTTTCAGTTTAAATATTTGGCTATATTTGTCTACTGAACGATAGTATTGATTATAAACGGGACTATTTTGTGAATTTGTGATGAAAAGAGGGAATCAGTGAAAAGGATATACGTCTACCAGTGAAATAAATAAATAATTAATTTGGCAGTCAGAAAAATCTATAAGAATCAAAACATTATCACGGTTTGTCATTTCAAAATGGCTGACAATTAAATATTACCGGTACATCTTTTCGTAAAATAAAATTGTCACTGATTTTCATTGATTACTGTAAAATGACTAATTTTTACTGGGTTTAAATCTTGCTGATTTACCGTTTCAGGCATATTCGGTGGGTTTTAATTTAGTGCATTTTCAAGTCAGCGAAATAAACAAAATTAAAACCCAGTGAATACAGTGGCCCCTCGCTAAGTCGCGCCTCGGTAAGTCGCGATTCGGCTAAGTCGTGGGTACTTGGATGGCTCCCAAAATTTCTATTGTGTTTTGACAGCAATTTTGAAGTACAAAGACTAATGTTTCGTGGCATAGTGTTTTTAACTAACCGTTAAAGAGACAACTTAACACCCACTGTCCGTCAATTGCTGAGACGCAATGAGTGACGGCGGCCTTACTCAAGGTGTCAACAGGGGTGTCGAGTAGTGACCGTACGTACTTCTTGGCCGGTCCCATTTTGGTATACCTCTACAAAAACTCGCTACAATGAGTTGAATTCATAGAATTCTGATCTCTATTTCTCAATTGAGCAGCATGTCAAAGCGAAAGCTATACAGCCTGTTCGTACGCAATAAACTCACGGCGATCGACCGTGTCAAACCAAGTTAAGGGTTGCACGTGGTTGAGCCCACTATTCGTGGGTGGGTAAAAAATGAAAAGTAAATTTGTTTTCAAAGTTGACCAAGAGGCGGGACTGAACAGAAAAACAAGCGAAAGTGTCCGACAATGATGACACCGATAAAGCTGTTTACGTTTCTTTAAGAACGGTCTGCCGGAACTCCACTATCTGGTCCCATCACCCAATTGATGAACT